GGGGGGGGGACGCGGCCTGAGGACGCGAGAAGACTCCTCGCAGGCGGGAAAGACGGGAAAGGGCCGACGCGGGCCCTGGCTACGGGGCAGTGGCAGGGAGGGTTCGGGGGGGACTCAAATGCAGATTTAGAAGAAGGCAAGGCTGGCCCATCCGCCCACATCCCGGGGCAGGCCCGGGGGCTGGTTAAAAGCTGCGAGTGGAATCAGGCAGCACTGTTCTGCTGGGTTTGGTCTCCCTTTTGGTCGGGGTCCTGTTCATTTCAGCTTTATTAGGTTTTACTTGGAGACCTTGCAGGTTAGTTTGCGTAGGATTAGAATTTAATGCAAAATGCGACTCAGACACTCTATGAACTCCTCTGGAGGGAGGGGCACAGGGATAAAGTCCACGCGTTCCTACCTGCCCACCACCCCTTGTCCGAGACCTCGGGGCCCCCCGTGGGTAAGACCTTCACCACCACGGTCTCAGGCACAGCCCTTTCCCGAGGCTCGTCAACGTCTCTGCCTCAAAACACCTCACATTTCATGCCATCCGTGGGATCAGGAGCCCGCACGGCACCCTGGAGGTCGGAGCGGGACGTCGCCTCCCAACGGACTCCTGCAGCTTGGGGCCGTCTTTGCCCTTCAGAGCTTTATAGAAATGGGCCTGGAGAAGGGGGATCGGGGCTCCCTGAGAAAGCGAAAGCTGTGGACACGTTTGAGGGACACTCGTCTCAAATTGGGAGGTAGCACCTGTCCCCGGCCTGGAGAACTGGGCTTTGAGACTCAGCTGAAAACGCCAGGGAGGCGTCCCAGGTGGGCATCCTTTGGGCAGCGAAAAAAGCCGTGGAGCCGGGCACTCGAGACGGCAAACTCGCAGATGACACGTGGGTGAAAATACGAGACACAAAAAGAGATGAAAGGTTAAGAGGTTTAAAAAGGGGGGGAGGAAGAACAGAGGAGGGGGGCGAACATGAACCACCAAAGGGGGAGCAGCAGTCAGCAGGCTGGTCAGGAAAGAACACGTTCCAGTGGCCAGAAAGAGCACGGAATGAGCAACAGGCGACCCTCACTATTAATTTAAAAGGCAATTAAAACGCCAGGGAGTCATCGCTTCCTGCTCGCAGCCAACGATGAGGGTATGAAATATTCGTAGATGGTGTTTTCCTCGGTCGGGGGAAGCAGCCGCTCACACGCGGCCAACGGTCCTGCCAGTAAACCTCCTGAGCCCTGAGCATGTTTTAAAGCCCTAGGGGTACGTGAGTTTGCGGACATGCCTCAGGCGTGATCCCAGCAGCAATCTCCACGCAGGACCCAGCTGCGTGGCAAGAAGGGTTCCTGGCGCCCACAGGGGCCCCCACGCTGTGCGGCATCAACTCTCCTTAGAAAGCCCAGGACTCAGACACTCACGTGCGCTGCAAGGAGAAAGCACAGCCCACAGGGTGGCCGAGCAGCTGCTACCACGTAATTCCCGGTAACGTGGACCATCGCTGCGCAAAGCAGTCAGGAACTGCACGTTCGCACCCTCACGGTAGAGGTAATCGCCTCCAGGTAAAAAGATGTCAGTATTTTTCTCTTTTTTCTTAACATAGCCCCTAAAAATTCTGCAACAAATGTGTATTTGTTTTTAAACCAGGACAAAGCTAAGTGAGATAAAACAGTGTCTGGAGTCGGCAGAATAGAATTCACGTGAACACTGAGTCACGATCCCCCTCTGCCCTGACCGGCGAGTTTCTTACGGGGGCACAAGCGATACTCCTGGGGGAAGTGTTTACGACGTAATAAAAAGACAGCGTTCACTTGTTCCCCAGCGTCCCGCGTCCTGTGGCACCGACACCGGTGGGTAGGCAGGTCTGGGAGCCAACGCGATCGACACTCAGCTGCCTGCAAGTGATGGTCGCTTGTGCTCGGAGCTGCCGCTCGAGACGAAGGACCTGTTACCCGCTTTCTTTGCTCAGGACGAATTACCTGGCCACTGGCCAAAGTTAGGTAACTCAGAGAGAAACCAGCCAAAGGCTGCAGATTAGCTGAAAAGATGGACGAATTTTACAATTAAGCGTTTAAATTTACGTCAACTGAGAAATTAGTTTTAGGAGATTAGCTGTGAGTGGCATCGCTTTGGAATGTCCCTCTCCGTGAGTTTAAAATCCGGCGAAATGGGGATTACAAGGTGCCTTTTCTGATTTAAGAGCAGGTCAGTGGTTTAAAATGATGGTTCCCTTTACAGGCAATTACTCCACTTTTTAAAAGAAACAGGTAGAAATCCTACCAGTCTCCCGATGACTCAGCTGGAAATGAAATGCAGGACGTGACTGTGCTCACAAAAGTTATGAAACGGAAACAGCGCTGCCCGGCTGGTGCAGCTCAGTGGTCGAGCGTCAGCCTGTGAACCAGGAGGTTGCTGGTTCGCTTCCCGGTGGGGGCACCTGCCCGGGCTGTGGGCTCGACCCCCAGCCGGGGGCGCACAGGAGNTGCCCGGGCTGTGGGCTTGACCCCCAGCCGGGGGCGCAGAGGAGGCAGCCGATCAATGACTCTCATGGATGTTTCTCTCTCTCTCCCTCTCTCTCCCTCTCTCTGAAATCAATAAAGCATATTTTTAATTTTTTTATTTTTTATTTTATTTTATTTTATTTTATTTTATTTTATTTTATTTTATTTTATTTTATTTTATATTTTTAAATATATCTTTATTGATCTCAAAGAGAAGAAGGGAGAGGGAGAGAGAGAGAAATATTGATCAGCTAGCCTGCAACCCAGGCATGTGCCCTGACCGGGAATCGAACCCTGATCGCCTGGATCCTAGGTCGATGCTCAAATGCTGAGCCAGGCCCAGCCGGGCTAAAGCATATTTTTAAAAAATTAAGTAAACACAGACTGGTCTCTGACAAGGCTGAACATGCTAAGGAGCCAGCCCTCTCGTCCCGTCTACCTGCCCAGCACTGGAAGGGCCTTGTGATAAGCCAGGCGCTGGAGTCTCAGCCCTGTGAGGCCACGGAGATTTTCTCTACAGCCATTTACGTGACAATAAAAGTCAGTTTAAGTCACAAATCCGCCTCAAGGTCACCCTGAGCAAACTGGCCCATTAACTATGTGCCTATCATTTCATGACCATGGCTTCCCATCACAGATTAATTAAATTTTACACATTTGAGACAGATGATAAAGAAGCACAAATTGAACTGTGATGGTTAATTATAGGAATAAGGTTTAGTAACACTTATTTTTAAGATTAAGATGAAATACTCTAAACAGGTATTTATGGCAAAATATGTCATTGAGTGAAGGGACCCTCTACATGGAATTACTATTTTACATAAAAATATGCAGCACCTTAAAACCACATTTGCGGTGGAATATCTTGGAATGTTATTGAAATTAAAGTCTGCAAAACTAATTGCCATCTTTTTAATAAGGTTAAACTATAAAAATTCTGGTGAATTTCAGAAACAACTTTCCGCTTTTATCTTCATTTTGACAAAACAGTATAATTTCTAGTTTTCAGAACTATTAAAATGTAGCAATATTATAGAAAAAACATCTACAAAGAGAAAGTACTTCTTATTGGGTAGGTTTTGCTTATGGGCAAGTTTCTATATTAAAAATAAGAATCGCAATGGCAGGGTTATGAATTTTTAGCCACTCAGAATTTTAAATGACAGTAATTCAATTGATTCTTATTTTTACAGGATTCGTTAAGGACGGGACGTGTTAGATAAATGCCAATTACCGCATATTAAATAGACTACTTCCTTAACTTCACCTAATAAAATAAAGCTTAAAGGTTTGCAATAAAATTTCAACGTGGGATCGGAGAACCAGAGGGCAAGGAAAAACCCCTATGAATTATTTCTGAAGAGACGATGCATTTCCCGGGCAAGTTCAGGGACGGCAGGCGCTCGTTCCCCCGCGTAAGCTCTGTACCTATGCAGGTGGGCGGGTCCGGCTGCCAGAAGAAGCGGCCGTCCAGCTGCACACAGGTGATCTTCTCCTGTCCTTGCAGCTGATAGCCGGGGTCGCACTGGAAGGTGACGGTGTCTCCGGGCTCTCTGCTGTCCCCGTAGCGGGTGCCGTTTTGCGGGGTGCCTGGGTCATTGCAGGTGGACGCTATTGAGGCTACGAGAGAAGACAACGACAGGTCACGGGACTGGGAACGTGGCGGGCACAGGCTCGTGGGTGTAGGGCACCCTCGGTTGGCATCCCGAGTCACCTGTCCCCACAGGAACCCGTGGAAACAGTTTACGTTGTCCCCAAGCACACGCGCACTAATGGACACCCCGATTGCCCCTACTTGGAACAGATTCTGGCAAAATCTTGTTGAAAATGCCACTGATGATGGGACAGACCGAGCACTGCCTCATGCTGAAGCTGTAACCCCCCCCCACCC